GCCTTGACCAGTAACATCATATAAAGAGAGACCAATTCTTGTTTGATGTAACCATACTTTTCTCATAACATAATTAAATAATGCCATTATGCTAATTCTACCGTGAGGATCACCTTGTTGTAATTTAGCAAATACAACTGCAGTAAAATAAGGACTACACTTTGTACCAGCTAATTTACCAACTTTTTTAAAATCTTCATAATTTATTAGTTGTTCATCACCTGATAATGGGGGACTATGGTGTTTGTCTAATAATACCCACAAGGCTTTTAATTCATTATTATCTAGTAATTGTCGAGAACGTCTTTGCAAAAATAGTGCTCTTGTCTCTTCTCGTAGTTTCTGTGGTAGAATCTCATCTTCCTTTGGTAACTAATGTATAAATATTAATATATTAAATAGTGAAAACTTTGAAAAATATGATTTCTATATTGACATATATAACCTTAAAATAAAATTTTGGGATCACTTTGTAAGTTAAATCTTTATCTTTAGCTTTGGCGCCTTTCCATTGTTCATAAATTTTTTGAAAATATTCATCTTCCACGAACTCATTTTCTGTTAATTTTTCTTCTGCTATGAAAATGTTACATTTGTCGTAAAATAAAAACACTTAAATATCATATTAAGAATATATTCATTGATCATAATTATGAATTCACACACTTACATTTATTTATTACAACACATTTTCGAAGTACTGTTTCCAGTTCCATTTGATTTTCTGTTTAATAATTCGTAATTGTAACTAAGGTTTACTAATGTTAAATGTCGTCACAGACCTTATCTATTGTGTATATGGAACCATATGTAATTATATGTGTCCTCTCACCTATCAGTGCTACCAAACATAATACATAAATAATTATACATATGTACACTTTATGAACTTACATTAAGTGATGTATATAACTAATTCTATATACACTACATACATAATATATACACATACATAACTGATTTCTACTAATTTCTACTACGTTTGTATAAACTTACGTATAGTAATACCTCAGATATTGTACGATTTTTTACCTCCATTAATTTTTGTAAGCATCCCTATCATTTTACTACGCATCCAATCCGAAGTGAATCCTGTCTCAGCATTGAATCGTCAGCCAATCAAAGCAAAGCAATTTCTACTCCAATCCTTGCTAACGAAACGTGCTACAACCGGAGATTCTTTCAAAACTTGAGGTGCAAATTACTATACATGCATATGCAAATGTAGTATTATCACACATTCACAACTCAAAATCGGTAAGCAAGATATATTGTATTTACGTACCCAACCAAATGTATCGCACTTTTTTCAAATCAGTTTACGATACAAAAAATATACAGTTGAATGTCAATTATAAATTAAATTAAAAATGTAATTGATATAATTATTCAATGTAATAATAATTGTTTGCATAATTATTTCATAAATATTTTCATATCAACCGGCCTAGAATTATGAAGCAGATAATAAACTACTTCTTCTCTGACTGATTGATGCTTCACAGATACACAGTGCTGGTTTCACTGTTTAGACAAAACGAGAAAGTGGCGAGTGGACAAGAGAGCACGACATCAGCCCAACAACAAGCGAAACAAGTCACATCGACAGTCAAAGTAGTGTCTCACTTTACCATGCTTGCAATCTTACTCTATTCGCGCATTCGTTTGCCTGGCACGCCATCTGAAACACTTAGCTTGATATTCGACATGTACTTTTCGCCCCGTAGGATTCTCGACCGCACAATCCAGCATCAAGATTTTGCTACAAGCGACGCTATTGTTGCTGAGTTGTGGCAGATGTAGATAATTAATGTTTCCTATTTTATCGACAATTTTCAAATATCGACTAAGTTTATTTAAATCAGTTGTCCGTTTGTCCGTTGTCCGTTGTCATCGGTGTTCGCCGACTCCCGTCAACGGAATTTTCGTGCTGCGTCCGTCTAACTTTCTCCGGGACGAATTACATTTTCTTTTATCCCTAAAAAAACATTTTATTTACGGGGAATCTTCGGCTCAGCGAGACAAATTCCAGTCCTTCAACGAATGATGTGCAATCGACAAAAGGCCACATTCGTTAGGCTTTCAATTTCGTAGAGCCATAGCCTTCTTCGTTGCAGTTTCTAAGTTTATGATTTTTTCGAGCCGTCTTCCTTCCAGCAATAAAGTCATTCCTGCACTTTCGAGTAATGCACGCCTCATCGCCAGCATGCACCGCTTCGGTCGGCCGTCCGGGGTTTTTTGCTACCTGCGGCACTGCGTGTTACGTCACTTTTACATCCCCTTCCATCGCGTTACTGGCCAATCAGTTTCTAGTCTTCTGTCCACGAAACGGTATAAAAACTCGAAACTGATTCTTCTCTTGGTCTTCTCTGTCTTGTCTATTCGTCTTTGAGTCTCATTCGTGTCAGTCAGTGTCAGTTAAACTCAGCAATTCTCGCTCGGTCTCTAGTCCACGACTCTGTTTCAACAGGCACGCGCTGTTCATTTCAACTAACTTCTGAATCGCAGTCAATCTGCTTCAGTCAACTTCAGTAGACTCCAGCTCACGCTAGTCTACCACACTCAACTCTTCAACTTCAATAGACTCCAACTCACGCTAGTCTACTACACTCAACTCTTCAACTTCAGTAGACTCCAGCTCACGCTAGTCTACTACTCAGATAGTCTTTCAACCTCAGACCATCGAATTGAGTGCTTTATAGTGCTTCAATTCATTCTTCGAAATTAAACAGCTGTTCATCTTTAATTAGACGAACTGCGATACTAATCAATTCCGTCGCTTAGCGTAATCGGCCTTACAACCCGAGAGATTTTGTAATCGCGCAATTTTAGTATCAGGTGTACTCGCTGTGCACCCTACAATTACGTCTACGATTACGAACGCGGTTACAAACACGATCCACGATTACGGTTTATGATACGGAATTATAAGTTAACGGGATTTATTGTATATATTTATAAGAGTGTAACTTCGGAACTTGCACAGACTTCGTGTCTTAACAAAAAAGAATATGTTCTATTTATCTTCCTTTAAATAAGTGTGAGGAGGTCATTTGCCTATAGGAACCAAATTGAAAGTTATAGGTAGTTAAAAGACAACCGCGTCACATATTGCTCACGGGTGGGCTCGGCTGCTGGTATTTCATATAACGTATTTCATAAAACGTTACATGTATGAAATATAAATATGAAATGCATATTTAGAAAGTAAAAAATAGTATGTATGATTGCATTTAAACAATCTTTTTTATATCAAAAATAGTAATGAAAATTTATTGAAATTTATTGTTCAATAAATGCAAAAAATATTATTAATATTATCAGTAGCTAAAAATGACTACTATCTTTTAATTATTTTTAGACAAAATTTCATTTCAATATCTCTAATGATTCAAAAGTTATAACAACTTGTCAATGAATTTTCGAAATCGTCGCAAACGCTCAGAAACTGGAGGCAACCGTGAAAATCCGGCATGAAGTGCGAATTTCTGAATGGGTAAGGGGTGGGAGTGTAAAAGTCGATGTTACAACTTTTCCGAGCCAACCACCGAAGGGTGAAAAATTCAGGAAATTTAAAAAATTTTCAAAGCGACTATTAGGAACAGCGGTTTTCTAGCTGTCATTTGTGTGCGCGCGTGCACGTGTGCGTGCTGGAAACGGTTTGGCAATACATAGTCGCTATCTACAGCCACTATGAAATTCTTGTAGAGCTTCACTTCCCAAACAAGAACCTGAAAACCGAATTACTCCATCTCCCTGAGTTTCCGAAAAAAACGAGCTGTTGACAAAACAGCTGCTTACGGCATGCACTCTGCGAAAAACTGCATATTACATGCATGTTTATTCCACGAAGAAAATTATTTCGATCAGTGCTAATGCTAATTAAACTGATCTTCAATGTTCTTAGTGTAAATATATCCTCATAAAACTATGTAGAAACAAAAACAATTAACAAATATTCACTTTATGATTCGAATAATTGTGCAATACCCGAATAAATAAACGGAATAGTTTCTTCGGATAAATCAATAGAATAGCTTGTTCAAATAAATAGATGGAATAGTTTGTTCAAATAAATAGTTGGAACAGATTGTTGGTAAAGTAAGTTAGTAAATGAAATAATTTGTTAGGATAATAAATAATCATTATTCGAATAAAATATTCGACAGTCAAGAATTCATTCGGACAACTATATTAGTGAAATATTTATTTGAAATAGTTCGAATAATTTTGAACTCTGCCTCGAGCCTGTTAGGCTGGGCGGTTCACAACCCCAAACCTCGGGCCACGAACTGCGCAAGATGGGAATGAAGGTGGGGGCCTTCTCAACCGAGTTGCTTCGTCTCGCAAAGGCGCAAGATATCCGTAGCACGGGCCAAGAAATGCGCAAGTAACGATCTGCGTAGGATCAAACTCCAGAATTACAAGCTGCGAAATTCGATTTTTCCGATCGAACCATAGAAGCAACATCTTCTCGTGTTCCATAGGCTCCTCTATTTAATAATAACGGTTCTTTTCAAGGCCTCAAATTCATTCCAGCCTTTTTCACTCCGGAAGTAATAATGTCGATACGATAATAGAATACCATTTCCTGTTATCCAGAACCACAAACAACATTTTCTTGTATTCCTAGTTCTGTTCCTAGCTTCGATAATTGTGAGATTATTCGTTGCTTACGAAACTTCTCGTAGAGTAGAATATTGATTGTTGGTCGCCCCAGTTAACAAATACTGGGGTGGCTGAATTAACAAAATTTTGTAGATTCATAAAGTAGAAAACATTAGCTAGTCGAGAATCCTATGGGGCGAAAGGTACGAGTCGAATATCGCACCATATTTCAGATGGAACATCAGGCATACGAATGCGCGAAAAGAGTGAAACCGCAAGCACAGTAAAGTGAGACAAGCTACATTGGTCGTTGGTGTGATTTGTTTCGCTTGTGGTTGTGCTGATGTCGTGCTATCTTGCTCACTTGCCACTTTCTCTCTTTGCCTAGAACTGTGAGAGCAGCACTGTCTAGCTGTGAAGCGTTAATCAATCACAGGAGCAGAGCAGGTACTACTAGCAGAGGTACTACTGTTATATCATTGAATACGAGATTTCAATACTTAAATGAACATTTAATCAATTCGTTAATTCGCAAGAAACTGTTCTTCGGAATACAAATAGAAAATTAAATAAATTGCTATAACACAAGTACAAAAATTTAGTATAACATAGTTGTATAACTTAAAAAGTTATGAGGTGGAAATGTACTTTAATATTCTTTTAAATACTAATAGTACATATATACATATAGTAATTATAATGAATCAATCACTTTCCTTAGATTCTGCATCACTGGATGGTGGAGTACTTTCAATAGGTTCTTCATCACTGCCTTCATCAGACTCATCCTTCTTTTCTTTCTTTACCTTTTTATCATCATCTTCCTAGAAGCCAATAAATTTAGATTATACTATGTGTAAATTACATTGTAACATTATTCAAATAGCGAAATTATTACCGTAGCAGCACGTTTGTCTCCTCTTTTCTTTCCCTTGTTTTCGTCACTATCTTCATCTGAACGTTTCTTTTCTGCTTTCTGAAAACATGTAAAAAGATGAAAACGTGTTATGTATTATAACTCTAACTACCTGAACAACTTGTCTTGTGAATTATCTTATAGAGCAGATTTCACCATCTCTTATACCTTGTTGCCTTCATCGCTACTACTGTCATCCTCACTAATATATTCCTTGCTCTTGAAAGTACTTCCTGACATCAATTTACTGGGAGATTCTTTCTTCACTTCCTTCTTTTTCTTTTCACCTTTTTCTTTCTTTTCTTTCACTTCACCACCTCCACTAGCTACATACTCTTTCATTGAAGCCGCATATTCTTTTTTCGCCTTAGCTGCCTTCTCTTCCCATTCCTAAATAACACATGTAAAATATGAAAAATAAATAATTATAAAAATTCAGTATATAAATTCGGTACCAGAGTAAGAAAAGATCAAACATATTTATACATCCTTACAGATTTATCTTTGAGCTCTCTCCACATTTCTCCTCCCTTCTTGGCAATTTCTGTAACCGCAATTCCTGGATTATCTGCTTTAATTTTTTCTCGTGCACTGTTCAACCATATCATGAATGCTGTTGGTGGTCTCTTAGGTTTATTTGCATCTCTTTCTGCTTTCTGCTTCCTAGGCTTTCTTGGTTTTTCAGACTACAAAACACACGATTCATAGGATTCACATTTCTCAATATTTAACTAATAATAGACACTACTGAGTTTTATTTAAACAATAAATAATATGTACCACTGTTTTAGCAGACTTCGATTTCTTTTCCTTCTTTTCTTTCTTTTCTTTTTTGTCTTTCTTCTGACTCTTTCCAGAAGCGTCAGAATCATTTTCACTTTCAGAAGTGTTGGGATTACTGTCGTACTCTTCTGCTACATCACTCTCATCCTAAAGAAGACAGAAGAGTTACATGTATACGTAAATAATTTGATTTATAAAATGTAAATTCCGTACTTGATTGGGATTAAAATCTTCATCTGTCGACTCTTCTTCAGAATCTTGATTATCTCCTGCATCTCTTTCTTGGGCCTCAGCTTTAACTCTTGCCAAATACGCATCTGGTTCATCTTCTTGATCGCTATCACCAAAGTCATTATCGTAGGTTAGTTTATCCTGTTACAAAGACAAAAATGTTTTTAATAATTTTCTGATCATCAATACAAATATTGAAGTACTTCTAAATAAAATGTCTTACTTACACTCTTGCCTCTATTTTTAACACGCAATTTCTTCGAAGTAATAAAATCAAATAATTTTCCATATTCCTCCTTCTCAATACTACTAAATGTGTGAACAACACCACTGGTTAATTCAATTTCGAAATCAAACGATCTGGTAGAGCCTCCTCCACGAGCGAAGTTTACAGATGCGATTTCTTCGAACCGAATATGTATAGGAGGTTTATGAACGTAAATAAAACCTCTTTCCAAAGGATAGAGGGAACCTGCGGCTGCTTTGAAAGAGCAACTAATTGAAAGAGCTCCAGAATGACTGAAAATTTAAAACATTGTAATATAACTTCTATGCAGATGACTCAATATTTGTGTGACTGATATTTACCTCGTAAAATTACCAGGACCAGTGATTTTTCTGTTTATTATAACTTTCATTACTTTTCCTAACACTTCGTATGTTGGTCCTGACAGCTCTTTCGTTAACTTGTCTTCATATTTTTCTTTTAATTCTTTGCTGTAAATAGAACAAGATATTAAAACACTCTATTCTAATATTAAATTTATTTTATAATTATTAATGGAATTGTATTTTATGTACTCGGAGAAGGGTAGTTCAATAGAAGTCTCTTCTTCTTGATTAAACAATAATACCAAATAATGATAACGAGTTTGGCCTTGCTTAATTGGTGGATCTAGACTGACCTGGAAAAATATGTGACAATAAGAATATAATAAATAAAAGATTGTAAAAATGAAAAAATTTGTTATGTTTACGAAACACTTACGACAAAATACATCTGTCTGCTGTCTTTATGTGGTAAAAGGAAAAGCCGTAAAACTGTTGACATTGGAATTTTGTAATCAAATGTTTTTCCGTGCAATTGGAAAAATGACTGAAATATTTTTATATCATAACGACCACTGAAATAACAAAAAGCTCAATTGAATACAGTGAACTTTTCCTGTCAATACAATTTAAATATATAGATTGAATATAAATATTTACCGTGGTGTTAGGCACTGAATTTCTCTAAATATAGCAATAGCATCTCCACTGACACTAATAACAGAAGCTTTCTCCATAACTTGTTGATGAAATGCTTCTACAGGATCTTGATCTACACTATCACTAACTGGAATATGAAATCTCATTTCCATTAAACTTACAGGAGCATCATCATTCTGAAAATTTTATTAACATATGTACTAATTATCATGATAAATTCATAAAGTATATATAACAAAAAATATAAAATCCCTTTTTCTATGAAATATAAATTACCTGATGAAACTCCAGAGTAACTTCATTCTTACCAGTATTACATTGAGATACATCATATAGTGGAATTTCAAATGCTGTATGATGACCAACATCAAAACTTAAAACTGAACCGTTAAACCTTGCGGTACCCCAATTCCAACCTTTCAAACTAAGTTCCTTTTCCAACATGTCTTTTTTATAATTTTGTACAAAAAACTTTGCAATTTTTTCTTGATCCTGTACAAACATTATTTAATTCTTTCTTTAATTCTAAATTCAAGTAATAAGAAATAGTGTCAGTTAATTGTTACGCATTTAAAAATTTCTTACTTACAGAATCTTTAAAACCACGAAACCTATGTAATGTTCCATTCTTCAAAAATATTCGTAGCCCCCAGGTACCAATGAATTTTTGATAATTTACCATTTCCATGTCAGATGCTGAAATTTGTTCTACTTTTCCTGTTTTCTGATTTTTGAAAATTAAGTGCTGATCTGTTAATTTTAGTCGTCCAGGAGTCTATAAAAAAGAATGTATAAAGAAATCAATCACATATAATAATAATAATTGGAAGTAAATAAAAAGAAACAATGTAGTATTCTATGAAATTTTAACCTCAAACATTTACACAACCAAATTACACAAACAATAAGAGTAACATAATAATATTAAAGAAACGTGCAATTTGTTGTTGAGACAAATGTACATTCATCAATAAATTGCATATAATTACCATAGCTCCCTTCACTTCTGCGATTATATCCGTGTACTCCAAAAAATCCATTTTCGAGTTTATTCAAGCACAACTTGCTTATTATTTAACTCTATTACTTAATAGTTAACCTCATAACCTTATCTTCAAACAAAGAGAATTCAGAATTGTTCCAAATAACGCAACAATGCATGCGTTACATGCGTTACTGGAGTCACAGCACGCCAATCTGACTCTTTCAAAACTTTTCCGCGGACATAAATGCGTTACAGCTTAAGCTTAAGCCATGAACTAAAGAAATGAAGAGATTCCAACAGATGTGTACATATGTCAATTTTGTGGCATATGTACGCGCACTTACATAATTCTTTAAGCAATACAATTGGTCAGTTAGAGTTAGAGTTAGAACCACTTGAAACGTGATGTACAATACATACATACATATTTAAAAAAAGTGCAATTCATCTCTCAACAGTCATTTTATCTATAATAAATTTTAATAACATAAGAAACAGTACTGTTTAAATGGGAAATTATATTTTCCAAAAACTTGTTACTTGACTTGTAGGTTATAAGTACATATCTAATTAACTATAATAATAAATATAAGTAAGTAAATATATATATATATATATAAAATATCATACGATTTTGTAACTAATTTATTATAAGTACTTAAAGATAAACATGAATATAACTGAATAATTTCACATATTTGATGACAAAATTATAATGTTTGTGTCTTCCCATTATTTTTAAATGTTTATAAAAATTATTATTTTATTTTACAGGTTCTTCATAGAGACTGTAATAATCTTATATACTAATAATGACACAATCAGGTTTCCCCACATTAAAAAATGACTTCATTTTGAAAGCTGCACGTGGGGAATCTGTAACACGTATACCAATATGGATAATGCGTCAAGCTGGTAGATACCTTCCTGAATTTCAAGAAGTTAGGTCAAAGCATGACTTCTTCACTGTGTGTCAAACACCTGCTTTAGCTTCTGAAGTTACTTTACAACCTTTGAAACGATTTGACTTGGATGCCAGCATTATTTTCTCTGATATTCTAGTAATCCCTCAGGCAATGGGTTTAACTGTTGAAATGGTCCCTGGAACGGTTTGTTTGTCAAAACTTTTATTTTATACAATGTAAAATAAGGAGTTCTAACTCTTTTAAGCTTTATATTTTATTGGAAGCAAAGCCATGAAAATGTTTTGTAATAAATTATTAATTACAGGGTCCAGTTTTACCAAAACCATTAAATGATCCATCAGATTTAGCCAGGCTAGTTCAGCCTAATGTAGAGAATGATTTAAAATATGTTGGGGAAGCAATAACATTAACACGACACAAATTGGAAGGGAAAGTTCCATTAATTGGCTTTACTGGTGCACCAGTGAGAAACATTTTTTCATGTTTATGTATAAAACTATATAGATTTTATATTAAAATGATTCATATCTATAAATTATTAGTGGACTTTAATGAGCTACATGATCCAAGGTGGTGGAAGTTCAACAATGACTAAAGCCAGATCTTGGCTATATAAATATTCAGAAGATTCCCACAAACTTTTACAAATGATCACGAATGTAGTTGTGGATTATCTGGTTATGCAAGTGAAAGCTGGTGCACAAGTATATATAAAATTACTGTGACAATATTCAAATTTATGTAATAATTAATTTTCTAAAGACTATGTTTATTTTGTAGTTACTACAAGTGTTTGAAAGTCATGCTAATTTTCTTAATGATGAATTGTTTACAAATTATTCATTCAAATACTTGAAGGAGATCAGTGAGAAGGTCAGAAAACAACTGAAAGAAGAACAGATACCTGAAGTACCAATGGTAATGATAAGATGGAGCAGTAATTAAAATTTTTAATATACTTCTGAAGTATATAACTTAAAACTGAATCATACATAAGTTGAAAGCATAAATATTAAATTTTAGATAGTTTTTCCCAAAGGCGCAACAATGAATTCTTTAGAAATGCTAGCAAAATCAAAGGCTTATGAAGTATTGGGTCTAGATTGGACTGTGGATTCAACAGAAGCAAGAAAACGATTGGGTCCTGATGTTACTTTACAAGGAAATTTGGATCCATGTGCATTATATGCTTCTGAGGTGTGCATTATTAGGAAACGTTAGTTTCATTTTCTATTAATAGAATACTAAATAAATCTTTTTATATAGGAGGAAATAATAAGTCGGGGCCGAGAAATGGCAATGAAATTTGGTAAAAATCGATATATTGCAAATTTAGGACATGGTATTTTACCAGATACTCCAATTAAATCTGTTGAAGCTTTAATAAAAGGGATTCATTCAGTGTAATCCATTATTCCAACTTTTTCTAGTATATTTTTTATTGTATGCATTTATAATAAACAAATGTTATTGTTGAAGTACATTTGAGTTTCTATAAGAATGTTATGTTGTTATATTATATAAGTACCCATAGATTTTAAAAATTGTGTCGATTCGGTTTAAATTATCGAAATTTTTTAATGTGAAAAATGTATTAATGTACAGTAATGGGTTCTACTCCTGCACACTTGCAGGCCGCAGCTTGATCTGTTAGCGAGAGTCGATAGAGAAATTTTCTTTGTTTCGATTGGCTGACGATTCATTGCTGAGACGGGATCCACTGCGGATTCGATGCGCAATAAAATGGTGGGGATGTGCGCGCTAGCTTAGGGAGTAAGAAAAGCGTGCAGGAGTAGGTCCTGGCACCAGGTACATATCTATGATAGTAACAGAACTAGTGCTTTTTAAGAAACAATTTTCAATGCGCATGCGTCCACAAGTAGAGTGTAATACATTAGTTATAAATTTGTACTGTACATACAATTAAGTACGGAAGAAATTTTGGAATTTTCAATTAATCTAGAAAAGGGTGAGAAAATTTAGTTATATATTTAACATAATTTATTCAACATCGTTTTTTATCATATTAGTATTCACATTGCCACGTTGTCCAATGTTTCCAATTTTTTAGTCTTTTCTTTTTCTTTCATACAGTGGACCAGAGAAAAGGATAGAATATAGAAATATTCACTTTAAAAAGTGACAACGTTGTACACATGTATATAATATTGTCAAGGGCGTTAAACTTTTGGGGACATGAACAGTAAAAGTTTCAGTAGGAGTTTCGCCTCTACTATTCTATTTGCAGCTGACATGAACTGGTAATAAAATGTCAGGTTCAACTCTACCCCACGCAGACTTTCAGTCGGAATCCGTGGATCTATTCGGGTGGCCCCCTGTCGCCGATTAGCGGTTCGCGCAAGCGCAACCAACTCTTCTGGTTAGAGTGTCCATTTTGATCACATGTGAGTATCTCCAGTCTGTTCTCCTTTTTTCACGGTGAGTCTAGTTGAATGACTTGTGATCGCTTGAGCAAGTTTATAAAACGTGTGTTAAAAGCTCCAAAAAATAAAGAGCTACGTTATTAAAAACCAGTTGATATCCGTGATATCTGAAACCTTCTCCGAGAGTCGGCAACTTCGACGACGAACCGCACGCAATCCTTTTCGCGCCATCTTCTTGAGGAAAACGGTGAAAAAACCGCAGTAAACTCGTCCTCGAAGGTAATTCGACTTTCACGAGGCTCTCCGGTTGATTTTTCATATAAAAGCTTTGATATTGAAAGAACTGTCAGTCGGGTTAAAACTTTGGTTATCTCGTACTTCCACAACGTGTTCGTACACTTTACCTTCATTATTCAAAAGCATTTTAAAGCTATCCGCATTCTAATTAATCGGTTAGAAAATTTTCTTCGGTCAGTTTATTATACGATGTTTTCTTTTTTTGCACTTACTTTACCAGTTTTATCGTACTTCCAAAATATTCGAACTCTTTGGTATTCTATATAGTTTTCATTGTATACTTGGG